TCTTTCTAGAAGATTATAAAAAGTTTTACAAGACCAGTTTTTATAAAACTATTTAAATATGTTCTCGAGTAAGACAATCACGTGAAATACTATACACTAGAGCCTCTTGAAAAGAAATTTAATCATTTGATTATATAGCACAGTCTTTGTATTAGGTCACATTTTTTTCCAACCCTTATAATAATTAATTGAAAATTAATCCTTGCTATTTTTTTCACATATCACAGGTTATGTTACTTAAATCATGTGTGAAACATATTGGCTGTATATATCCCAGATATCTTGGTAACAGGATTATGAAGTGTTCAGTATATATACATACACTTGTTTTTCTGTTGGCCACATGGTTAGGGCACTCAACTCCCAATATGTGGGTTATGGGTTCGGTTCCCTATCCCACCAAACATGTTTGCCCATTCAGCTGTAGGGGCATTATAATGTGATGGTCAATCCCACTAATCATTGGTAAAAGAGTAGCCCAAGAGTTGGTGGTGATGACTAGCTATCTTCCCTGTTGTCTTTCACAGCTAAAATAGGGATAGCTAGTGCAGATAGCCCTCATGTAGCTTTTGCAAACTTCAAACTAAACCATACTTCAAATACAACATTTTTGCTTAAAAGTATTAAAATTAACTTATGCAAAAAATAGTAATTTTCTTAATTACAACAGACACATGAGTTCGCTAAGCTTTAAATGTGTGTACTTGGTTGAGCTAAAGTCTCAAATCAGTGCAAAGTTACAGAAGAATCACATTATTGACAGCTATTTCAAGTAAGACTAAACTTATCTTAGAAGTTTGAAACCACACTTCCTTACCTTAAGCAATTAGATGCATGATTAGTAAGAAGTAAACATGTAAATTATCACTTTGCAACATAATTTGTTGTAAGATTACATTTGATTGACCTTCTTATATCTAGTTTCAGTCAAATTACAAATAACAGTGACTGCAGCAGTATTGATGATTGTGTTTTTCAATACTAGAGACTGGCTAACTGTCTGTCTAAACTGCCATGGACCACAACGAAAAACCATTACAATTTACATATGAATATTCTGTCTTCTTTTCTGTGTGTGTGTGAGTTTATTTTTATGAAATCCCATGGACTGATGATTGAAAAACACTGTTCTAGCAGTGTAGATTGAAATGTTTAATTCAGTACTCCAGGTAGGTCAAGTGTTTTAGAATGTTCATTCTACAGAAGATAAGTATAATGATCGGACCCCAGAGAACTTTAGACATGGACTTGTTTTTTTTTACTGTTTGAAAAGAATAGAAATAGTTTGGAGATAATGAATAGTAATAGAAAGTATTAACTAAGACGGCCAGTAACACTCGTATGTATATTTTTACAGAATTGTATTGTAATACATTAGTTGTGGATAACAAGCGATGAAGCTTTAGTGGCTCAATATCCAAGAGAAAACAGTTAAGATTAAAAGTCCTTACAGCATGTAACAGATAACATCATTGAAACTTTGTAACTTTTTCACAGAAGTATGTGATTCTTGACGTAGTTAGAATGTAGTGTATACTGTAGGTGAATGGTTTACATTGGTAACATGAAAGAACAGGAGGTGAATGATGTATACACAGAGGCTAGTGGTCAATATGAAAATTTTTTGGACAATAAAGAGGATGTTGTGAAACATTAGGGTCAAATGTATTGAACATATTTATCAGGATTGTCCATCCAAGTAAAATTTCATTCTGTACCCATCTCTGTGGTTTGAGTATTTATTAAGACACTTAAGATATTTCATATGTTCTACATGTATTTGTTTCATTCATTGATTAATTGATAGAATTACACACACACACTGTTGTGTGCTATTTGTAAATGTTAAAAGTGAAGTTGTATTAAATTTGACTCTTGATTCATATATGTACCATAATCTAATGCTCATGGAGAAATATATGTGAAGTTGGTTGTGAAATATTGTGTATTTGTCACTGGTCCATGTGCAGAAATTCATGGATTTTCATATTTTATTATTAATTAGGTTTTAAAACTGTTTTATTGTATTTTTTGTTTCATTATTTCATCAACTGAAGGTGTTGTAAGCTTTATAAAGAAGATATATAAGAGTATATTTGTGCACTTGTGATAAAAACAAAAACAGTTTTTGGTGATTGAAGATAGTAATTCTTGTGTATTGTTCTTTGAGACTTCAAATTTTGAGACTCGTGAGATTACAAGAGTACTGGTTTTCTATGAATTTAGATTAGTAGCTTGTAGAAGTATTTTTTTACTGTCAGTAGATGAAAATTTCTGTAATAAATATTTCAATTTGAAAGTTGATATTTCATTGTTAAAAATCAAAGTTTAAAATTTAATAAAAGCTCGTTAAATGATAGCTATAAACTATAGTATTTAAAGTTACTAGCCAATGTATTGTCTTTTGTGTGTATTTCCTTTTCGCGATGTTGTAAAATAATGAGCCATTCTTGGTAATTGTGAACATATGCTACTTTCAGACACTTGTCTTGTGAATATTGATGTTTTGTCAGTGGGAGTGTTTTTACTGATCCATTTAAAGTAGGCTTATGTAATTCCAGAAGTTTCGTTTATAAAACACTTGGTTTTATGACTTCCATTACATGTTTATCACTGCTCGTTTTTAATTCATTTTTTTTACTTTTAATTGATTAGGTTAGTGTAAAAGAACCAAATACCGCGTATTACGAAACACCATTAGTGCTCATAAACCGTAGAAAGGTATTTTTAAAATATCATAAATATACAGATGTTGTATGCACTTTTTCTTTTCGTTTTATAATGGATGAATAATATATATGTATATATAGTAATCTCAGTAACATATAAGGAAGATAGTTGGTACGTCGAAATGTTCCTCTATGTAGTGGTGAATATAAAAAAAAAGAATAATATCCAAAATAGAAGAAATACACTAGTTATAAAGCCTGTTTTTGCTTTTCTTCGTAAAAGAAACGGACTGAATATTTACCATTTATATAACGTTTTTTGAAATAACTTCCAATTTATGAATCTTCAATGTTGGTAGTCGCGTTTAAACTTCACGTTAAGGATTTGTGGGTATTGTTGCTTAATAACAATAGAAGTTATCGAAGCTGTTTGACTCACGATAAAACAATAGGTTTATGTCTACAGCGTCGGTAACTGATTAATAGAAACCGTTCCCGAATTCATTCCATCATTATTGATGTTTCTGAACATGGTGAAACAAACCAGTATCACAATGAAATTCAATTAGTTATCAACGGGCGTCGGTTCAAGGAAGAACTAGGCTGTTACATAAGATATAACTAAAAGATGTTACAAGATACTAAATGCCAATTGGTAGGTTGTTTTTTCACCAGTAATTTAAACATGTAATGTTTTTACACCATCTTCAGTATTTCAGATAACGAAATGTTGTATAGAAAGTTCGAAATAAATAATAATGCATACTTTTCATCAAACAACTACATCGTTTTAAATAGAATTAACTTACGACCATATCAAGTCACCTATATTGAGCGAAACAGTCAATCTGTTAAAATGAATATAGCCAAGTAGATATAATTTTTTACATCTTTGCTTAAGGAGATTAGAATGCATTATTTTTATTAATTGAGTACCCGCGATGTTTAACAACATTTTCGGATGTAATTCCAATAATGTCTTACGGTGTATGGCCACCTTAGGAGTTTTAGGTTAGTCCTAAGTACACATATTGAACTATCAATGCGAAACAACCCTCTATAATAAAAGTCGAATAATAATAAAAAAAAAGAATTAAAAATTAATAAGATTAAATACACCAAGCAATAATATTATTGAAAATAACCGAGTAAAATTTATTTACGGAACCCAAAAACTAGCTGTTGGCTTTAACTAGTGTCACAGATATAATTTTAGTTGATCAACGTTAACATTAATATAACCGTGTATAAGTAAAACTCCAAACAATCTCCTTAAAAACGTTTTATACCAATAACAACCAAATAAAAATCTCTGACAATGTGACGTTAAAGGGTATGACATTTGAGATAAGTTACTGTTTAGGTGTAATGTTAAGTAGCAGGACATTATTTAAGAGTGCAGCCACAAACCAATGTTTAAGATATAAAATAATCCAATACCGGAAAAACAATAGTGTCATTACATAACAGTCGTTTTTAGGTTTAGTAGTACAAGAAACACGCTACAGAATCGGACTTTATTGTGGCTAAAATGAAATGTTTAACATGTAAATTGAAAAACCACGCAAAAAATATTAACCCTAAAAATTAAATAATAATTTATATACTTAAATAATGATATTTAATTAACAGTTTTTCTTGTACCTCATATACCTCATGCTTCGTTAAATTCCAAGTGTCGTACAGTTAAATCTTAAAGAGCACAGATCCTGCATTGTTGGATCCAAAAATGGTGTCTATAAAAACAGACGTTTTTATCTTTTACAACCATAGCCGAGAACGCGGAATTCACTTTATAATTCTTGTTTTAGTATTCAAAAGAGTGCCATTAAAACAAGTGAATTTCAAATTTTGTACCAACACGGGAAAAAAAGTGGGTGGGTAGTGTTCCACTCCTAATTTTTCAAAGTTCACAGTTTTGGTTAAGTAATAAACATAATTTTTTTATTGTGTAACTAAAAATGGAAGCTGTTTGTCTAAAAAATGTGGTAGTGAAAGAGCTGGTTTAAGTGATCAAACTATATACTTTTGATTCCCAGATGGAACAGCTGTAAGTCTACGCATTATAATCCTAAAATCAGGAGATCGATGCTCTTCGGTGGGCGAAGCAGATAGTCCGATGTGGCACCGTCAACTCGTAGGCGATTCTAGTATTTTCCAGTAACGCTATTTGACAGTTGCACTTCATAGAACATTCTCGGCCCCAAAGTGTGTAGAGCATTTCTTTGACACCTGGATGCTAACCTTAAACACGTCTAACCATGACGTAGGTCTGGATTTGAACAAACGAGTCAATATTTCCCCCAAAGCAGGAAAATGAAATACATGAAATCAATTCACTATTTTATTTTTATTTTCAAGCCTTGTACATACAGTTGTTGAGAATAGTTTTGCCAAGTAGATTTTCTTTGAAGATTACTTGTAAAATTTGTTGCCGAACACGAATTAAAATCAGTTTAAAGCGACGACAGGATAATGTAGAAGAAACAAAGATTATGTTTGTTAAATGAAATAAGTTAGGGTTTTCGGACGTTCAACAATAAATATCATATTACTTTGATTATTGACTTAGAAATACCGGCGAGTTTTAGTACTAACATGCTTTTGTTTGATGTTCTCAGTAGGTGGCGGTAGTGTCATCATCTAGTACACTCTACAGACAAGATTCTAATGGATCCTCACGCATAATTTTTCTAAAAATGAATACCAAAACAATTAAGATATTGCAATAATGAAAAAAATAAATCATATTGGTGCATTAAATTACTAACGTGTTTTATCACGCGGGCGTGAGTGAAAGCTTCGTTAGTTTGTATTTTCAACCGTTTGAAATGGATTTTAATATCTACTCTGTTACTTAACTTCCATAAAATTCAAAGTAATTTGTAACTGATTTAATTTTATTATTTTCGTTACTTTTTACTATTATTATGCATGTTTCGATCCATGATATTCTGCATATTTTACAATTTCCGTGTAAAATACGATAACGAAACCATATAACAAATGGTGTTTTACTTCAGTTTTTGTATTTCGACATTTATCTATTTTTGAAGAATACTGTTTATTAATAACAATCCCCAAGATCAATAAATGTGTAACAGTAAACGAACTTTTCAAACTTATATTAAACATTTTACAATCAGTTTCATAATTATAGATGAAAAGTCTTGATGTTGTCCTTTCTAAAGATCTGGTACTTACCCGCAATAATGGGACTGCATCACGCATCGGTTTCCGTATATCTTGCCTTCAACACACACGGGATTATATTCATCAGTACAGCCAGAAGGACAGAGTTCACTTCCCCGGCAGGTTTCCCATGTTTCCGCAGGTTCCACCCTTTTAAAACAAAAAACACAACATGGTAAAATAAACTTGGTAAACTGTGACGGCGAAAAGAAAACGCGATTGTAATAGTTTACTCATCAATTTAAAAAAGGAGGACTTATTATATAGAATTATTTCATGTGCAGATTATTTCTGAACTTGGACAATGTAAAGTTTAGCAGTTTCTTATGCTATTGTATTTGTTAACACTTATCATTTCGACGATGTTTATCATATAGAATTTTAAGCAGCACAATAACAAAGAACGTATTTAATATTACAAAGTACAGATTACATATATATCTCAATATTGTGAAGACAAGACTAGGGGGCTTAAAGTTGTATAGATAATTTGGAAGTAGAAAATAAAAGAGAGGTTGGAATACGGTGTTGTTTTCTTCAGGTATTGATAACAACTGTCGAATCACGTGGATCTTAATCACTGACTAAATAAATACACGTGTAAATCTGTTCCTTACCCCGAAAGTTTCAGAAAACAATCATTGCCATAGACGTTTCCATCAGCACCACAGACGGGTCTGTAAACAAGAGGACAGTGAGAAGCAGTAGAGGGCGCTATAAAAAGATAAATATGTATAGATCAAGATAAACTGAAAAGAATCACCTATATGTATGAGTTGGTTTCATTGTTCTGAACACGTACAAAAACTACCGAAACTTTAAGAAACAGTGTGGTACTTGTTTTGTTGTTGTTGTTGTCATTTAGTAAACAATAGGCACCAGATGTCCAAACGAAATAAATCAATTTAGTGTTGTCTTGTAGTCCGGAGATTTCCAGAATTGTCTAAAAATTCTTTGAGTTTTAAAGAACTTTAAAAATAAATTTGTAAGTTTTTGTTTCATTTAGATTGAAGATTTATACAACGACATTTTCCACGATTTATAAGATAGCGACAACATTAAGTGTGTTGTAGGATGTGTTTTGCTGTTATAACACAACACAGTTTTAATAAATCAGATTTGCAGTACGTTAAAAGTTAATGTATTTCTGGAAACGATGGAGTATAAGAGTGGATGGATAAAAGGATTAAAATGATAATAGAGAAGAAACTGATACGGAAGAAACGTTTATTTTATTGTATATCACCTAATATGTATAACTTAGCATTGTAGTTATAACGAAAAACTTTAATAAACTTAATATGTTATGAATTGTAGAAAGTGTCCATAAGTCATTCATTCGACTTGACAAACAATGAAATGTGGAACGTGAACTGACTTTTCTATTACAACATGATTGTACTGTTCAACTCTGGTTTTAGTATATATATAATGTATTTAAATTGGGTTTTTTTTATCATTTTTAGTCGAACTTTGTAAAGTTGTCATTGTTCAATACTTGTTTGATGTAAACTAGGCTTAAGTAAGGCTTTATTAAGGTAAGATGCTGGAAGTTTATTTTTAATGATCATTAATTTAATAATTCTTCTATGGCTACTTGAAGGTCAGAGCATGTTCATTCCCCTGTGGTTTCTTGAAGGTTAGAACATTTCCATTTCCTTATGGACATGTCATTTATCGGATATGATCCCTATCGATCATGTATGTCCATTCTTGACCCTGCGAAATTGTCCCAAACAACCATCTCCTAGAAAAACATCATCCCAGTTTTTTGCTAGTGGTACATGAAGTACAAGCCCAGAGGCCCAAATTTCAGATGTTGTAAATATAATGAGAAAGGCATTTACGCCTTAAATACTACAAAGGGATGGAAGTTCACTGGATACTAATGGTAATATTGTACCTTATATTTCATGTTTATTTATTTGACACAGCGCCATTCTTTCTGTGCGAGTGACTATTCGTTTACTGGCAGGCTGTGTATAAGCCAGGAATTTAATTATTGGTCTGTTTGCACACATATGCGGAAAACATAATTATTGGATAAACTTCATGTGTAAGCCGAGAACGTAACTGTTAAGTAACCTGTATGTATATGTATAAGCTTGGATAAAAGTTGGATATTTTGGTAATGCTTTCAGGATTTTCAAACACAAATTACTTATTAATTAAGTGAACATTAATATTTGTGACGTCGATTATAGCCAGTTGAACATAGATTTGTTAAGCACAGAACCATATTATCACCGTGACCTTTGACCCTCATAAACACAGCTCCTTCTAACCTGACCACACAGTGATTAACGTGTTGTGATTGGAGACGATTTAAATGAACACGAAACTAAGACACACATTCGGATTAGGATACTTTACTTCCCCAACCCTTTCCCCTCTCTATATCGCTGTAAATAAATACAACCTAACGGAGATCCCCTGAAAATATAGATACAAGCTGTTGAATACGGTGATTTTTTTTTATTAGGTCTACCCTAACGTTTCGTCAATCAAATTAGCCATTATCGACAATCGGGAAAAAAATGTGTTGAAATAAATCAAACAGCAAATAGTCCCAAGGTTTCTATTACACAGACGATTATGTTGACACATTGGATTTACTATTCCGAAACAACTATAGGCCACTATAACGTGAACAATTAAGTTGCCATAAAATGTTTACAGAAGTTTATTTTTTGAACAACTATGTTTGATTTTCTGTGGTACTAATTTGCATATCTTTAAAACACGACTCTTGTCATATCAACTAATTAAACTTCTGTTGTTTCGGCCCGGCATAGCCAGGTGGTTGGGGCACTCGATTTGTAATTTGTAGGTCGCGGGTTCGAATCCCGGTCTCCCACCAAATATGCTCGCCCTTTCAGCCGTGGGGACGTTATAAGTTACGGTCAATCCCACTAATCGTTGGTAAAAGTGTTGACGGTGGGTGTTGATGACTATCTGCCTTCCCTTTAGTCTTACTCTGCTAAATTAGGGACGGCTAGCGCAGATAGCCCTCGTGTAACTTTGCGCGAAATTTAAAACTAACTAACTTCTGTTGTTATAGAAACCGGAAACACAAGATAATTTTTGACAGATAAATAAATTTAAAAATTAGATATAAAATAATGTTTTTTTTTACATTTTTGTATCATCATTTGTTATTTTTAGATATAACGTTCGAGTAAGTTTCGTCCCCCCTAAGATAACAGTCGTCATGTTCTTTAATAAGTTATGGTCTAATCATTGTATTTTCTTTATCTGGATGTCATCCCGCGACATTACTCGTTGTACATCTGGCTGTATTCCCATAGTTAAGGACCTAGTGGCAGGTGGCGCTGTTCTGATGCTATTAAATATAAGTAAAAGCCTGGTATAGCTTATTTACTGTATATACGAACAATAATGGAATTTCGTCAAGCCAAGTTCTTTTGTTCGTCGTGGTTGTGTGGGCAGTAACTGGTAAGTTATTGAACAAACTTTTCTGATCAATTTACATTTTTAGTAGCAAATGAATAGAAACCGGTATTTTGCTTTGACTTATAGTTTAATAATTATAAATTTACCAAATAAGAATTGAACTTTCTATTTTTATACAGAGTCATTCCAAGACATGACTTCTGATTCATTTGATTCTATTTCCATAATTAATATTTAATATATATTAAGGGGAAAATAACCAAACGACCAATAGTATTTCAAGGGGGGCAAATATGTTACAGCTATATCGGAACCTATCTTTTTAGCAGGGGCTACAATAGCAGAGTACCTAGACGGAAACCACTCCTCATTCCGCATTAATACTGCACGCTAACAACATTGAGCTGACAGATACTATCACGCCCTCTTGCCTTATCTGACGAGTTTACATTTACAGAATTCTAGGACAGTGGACGCACATGAAACTATCCTTCGACGGACTGTCGTTGAACCGTTTGTAAATCAAGACAAAAACTAGGGAGGAGGGGCACTCAGTAAAGCGCATACCTCCGCCACGCAGCGTTGGTCATATTCGACCCTCAAGAAATACGAAAATGTGTCCGTATGTCCGTCATTATGAACGGACACGGATAATTTTTGGCAGGACAATGAGGAATAATATTATACTTAGGTCCACCAAGTTTCATCAAAATCCGATCATTTTTGACTGAGTTATAGAGCAAAAATAGTGTGAAAAATCGGTCCCCATGTTAACAGATAGGGATTTTTTTTGGATTTTCGTGACTTTACTGTAAACTTGACTTTTGACTTTGACCTTCCAAAAACTAATTACATTATTTCTAAGTTGAGTCATGGTTCAAATTTATACCAATTTTTGTCCAAATACATTCAGCCGTTTTTGAGAAATCCTGCTGACAAACACACAAACAAACACAGGGATGAAAATATAACCTCCGCCCAGCTTAGGTGACGGAGGTAAAAGAGGCATCTCTAATGTGGTGCGGGTTGCAACTAGATCAGCTAAACGACCATAGCTGATGGTTAGCAAAGAGATGGTCACCTCTTCTCAATACATCTCAACTCTCGAGAAAAGACTTTTATTTCTTTATGCCAATGATCCATTTACTAGACAAGGCAGTGTGTTATTAAACGGACGTCACAAAACGATTACTTGAAGGTCAGAGCATATTCATTCCCCTGTGGTTTCTTGAAGGTCAGAACATTTCCATTCCTCTATGGTTACTTGAAGGTCAGAGCATTTCATTCCCCTGTGGTTTCTTGAAGGTCAGATCATTTCCGCTGGGGAAAATAACCAAACGACCAATAGTATTTCAAGGGGGGCAAATATGTTACAGCTATATCGGAACCTATCTTTTTAGCAGGGGCTACAATAGCAGAGTACCACAAAAAGTCCGTTCTATCAGACCAGTGCGCAGAATGCTTAAAAGGGAGATTCTAATTTGTGAGATCAAAAGCCAACGTATATTGTGCGAAGCACGCACAATCAACGTGCAAAGCATGCTAATGCTACGGAGATCCGGGGTTCCCCCAGAAAATTTGTAAAAAATAGGTGATATGAGATGAAATTTGAAAGCAATTTTTCATGAAATATAACTTAAACAATTATATGGCTGATCACGTAAAATCCATAAAGATACAATAAAAATTAAACAAACATTTGTATATTAGTTTGACTTGTTTAATATATAATTTTAAAACAAGTGAACTGTGTTGATG